TTGTTTAATTATAATTACATATTAATTACTTGGACTACTGTTTTATAAATTTGAAGACTTTAGAAAATAAATATTTTAACAGAGCATATACAAGATAAAGACAGTAATTTAAGCCTTTTCTATTATTTTTTTCATCACTGTATATAATTGCATTTATAATTTTTAACTTAACTTCACTGTACAAATTTGCGTTCATTACTAAGAGATTCTGTATCACTTTTCAGCGTATTAAACATAACACGTTTCCTTGGTACAGGCACAGGAGCATTACTTGCTTGCACAGGCTTACTCTGTACAATCGAGCTGCTTGGTTGTCGTATCGGGGATGCTAAAATTTTCTCCAAGCGTTGTTTAAAATCACTATTGATATTTAGTTTCTCACTTGTAGGTGTTGATGTTATCGCTTCATGTTCTGCAAAACTTTCGTCCGAAGATATAGTTGTTGTCGTTTCCTGCTGTTGGAGTTTGTGCATCACATCCGCTGGTCGTAAGGGTTTTTTGTTTTCTAAAACATGTTCAGCGTTTTGCGGTAATTTGTTAGAGCAAATTTTATCGACAAACTTCTTGATTTTGTTACGTGTAACATTAAAAGTACGATTCTATTTAGTGACGCAAGTAAGTTATTATATTATACATTTCCAAATAGCTCACGATTTACCTGTTTACTCCTCTCTTCCGCTAGATTTTCTGCAATATTCTTCAAAGTGCTTCTTGGTAGATTTTTGGTTTTTAAACTAAATCCAAAAGTCGATAGTTTTTTGTTTATTAACTGTTTGGCATCATCTCTTGTATATTGTTGGGCTTTAAAAGACTTTCTGTAAAATTTTTTAATTATATATTATATATAAGTATGCATATATATATTCACAATTGGTTCTTTATTTTTTATTTTTCAAATCTATAAAATGTAACATTGAACTTGAAGATCAAAATAATTTTGATCAATCCATATCCATTAAGATGGTTTTATTTGTCCAAAAAATTTTATACAAATGGTTCCATTTATCGGAACCAACAACAATTCTTTGTTATTTTAAACCTGGTATAGAATTTCCTATAAAAGCATAAATGTGGTTTATAAGCGGAACCGAAAGTTACTTACCTTTTGCTGTTTTCCTTCTTAATGTTGGCGTTAGCTCCTTTCTGAATATTCGTACTTCTTGGTGAAAGGTTATTATCGTTTGCAGTTTTAGTGCCTCTCTGCTTATTTTTACTTATCTCATCCTCACTTTTACTTGCCTCGCTTTCGCTATTTGAAGTAAGACTTTCGGAATCGTCAGTAGAAACGTCTGTTTGTATATCTTCAGCGGTGTTTAGGTTATCTAAAATAAATTTAATGTTTATGTTTTTAAAAAGAAATTAATTTATTTATTAAATTTAGAATACATATTTCAATAGAACTTTAATGAAAATGAACTTATTGAGTTGTTATACAGTAAATGTAAACCTTCTGTAAGGTGGGTAATAAGTAGGGAATGAGGTTTAGGTAGTGGGTAATAAGTAAGGATTGAGGTTCAAAAGATTTGAAGTATTAGAATTACTGTATATTTATGTAAACATAAACTGAAGTATAATAGAGATCAACTACAAGTAGAATAGTATACTACATACTACAGTTATGTGTCTTCTAAAAATGAGACATATTTAAAAAATACAATATACTGGTGCCACATTTCAAATAAACAGATTTGTGAGCTTCTGATTAGAGTTTCAGCTCCATTACTAAAAGAAAATTGTTGTCTCTCTATACTCCAGTATTATTTTAGATGATAGATTCAACTGCAGACAACTGGCATAAATTACCGCTGGACTCTCATAAGAATGTTAACTTTTGTATCAGGCAAAGTAATTGGTTAAGAAAACGATTAATTCCGATTAAATATTTTACCAGATTGCTAGAGATGAATTGTTTACTCACCTTTAGTTTCCAAATTTTCTTCTTGATCCTTTTTTACTATAGTTTTAATAAAAGTTTCATTACTTTTGACACTTAATGAATCTAAGCTTTCAATATCTTCTTTGTTTAAGTCTTGTTTATATGTAGAATTCATATTCTTTTCCTTAAAATCTGTTTTTGTTTTTACATATATATGCGGCTCGTTATTTTTACTAGTATTTTCGGAATTATCTATTGATTTACGACTACTTTCCACTTCAATGTTATTCATTTTCGTACTCCTTCCATCGTGTTCATGATTAGTATTATTTGATGACTCCTCATGTTGTATCGATTGACTTTCAAAATTTAAACGCTTAACTTCGTTTTCCAACTCGTATAATTTCTCCCTATAGCTTAATTGGAGATTTTGTACGACCTCTTCTATTTTTTGAACACTTACCATACTAATTTCTTCCATTTTTTGACTTAGTAACCGTTCTAAGTCTTCTACGGTCGGTGAGTTTTGTTCTTGTCTAGAATTTGATTTTTCTTCAATAGTATCTAAATTGGTAATTGATTTCCCTATTGTTTGTACTATATCTGCTAGTTTCTCATTGATCTCAGCTATGCAATCTTCATTGTTAGAATTATGTTCTTCACGCCAAGTCTCAATATCTTGTATTTTTAATTGCAGATCTCGTAGTTGTTCTATTTGCTCTCTTACTTCGGTGTCGCTTATAACAGATGTATCATCTGCTTCTTTCACTTCAATTAAATTACTTTGAATGCCAATACTTTGAGTGACTGTGACTTTAGATTCTTGTTCTTCTTTAGCTGGCGATATCTGAACATGAACATTTTCTTTAATGAGCTCCTCACCACTGGTTTTAACGTTTTCCTTCTTTCGCTCTCTAATTTCTTTCTCTGCTACGTTCAAACGTTCTTTCAGTTGTTTTATCTCTAATTCAAATTTAATTGCATTAATTAATTGCATATCATTATCGATGTCTTTCGTGGTAGGCATTGGTTTCTTCTTATCTATGAATATCTTTCCAGTGTTACAATGCTTACGACTGATATGCAAATTAAGTGCCTCATTACTGATAAAATTCTTGGTGCACAGGTGACATGGATAAATAACTTCGTGTATTGCTTCCATTTGTGTTATTTTCTTCTGCAATTGGAGTAATTCATTATTTGCATCGGCGTGTGAAGTTTTTAATTTTGCTAGTTCAATTTGAGATTTCGCATGGGCTTCTCGTAGATCCACTACGGTTTCATCCAAAAAATTACGACAAAATAATAAATATTGAATGGCGAATTGTAAGAATATAAAATATTTTGCAATTCCATTATCCAGAATGTGTGAATTCAATATTGAGCCTAAAGGTGCTTCGGAAAGATGATTTAGCAATCCATCTATTTGTTCCAAATTTTGTTCCCGCAGTACTCGTTCTATTTCGATGGTGCCTTTAAGTTTTTTTTCAACACAATAAAATTAATTTTAATTATTAAAATGTTTTTTTATTAAAACTTTACCTAAGTGACGCCAATCCATGAAGCCATCATTGTAGAGATGTAATTTAAATCCTGCTTCGCGTGCAATTTGCGGAAAATTGTAAAAAAATTTGATGGACATTATAGTTTTTGCATATTAAAATTTTACTATAAACTTATAGAATTGATATAATTTCATTTTAAAGCAAAATGTATTTGTTATTATATATTGGTTGCCAGCGCAACCGTTGAAGTCAAAAATGCAATATTTTAAAGTCACTATGGAAAAGATTTTAAACTGTTTACAGTTTGAGCATCACACTAAAAATATTTTAACATGATTTTTTCTTAAAAATTAAATTGAATAATAATTATGCTATGTATACTAATAATATATAAATGATTGCAATATTACAATAAAAGTTGTATTAAAATGGAACTTAAAGTTAATCGTTAAAAACATAAATGTATAGATTTCTTCTGTTAATTGTTGAAGTATCAGATTGATGGAAACAAGGATCTAAGAACGAAACGGTGAAACTTTTGAAAGTTTTGATAGGTCACTGGCTGATAAGTATCAAAGGTAAAAGTTGAGCATATTTTTTAACCCAAACGGTACAGGAAAGCAGAGAAAATAATTGCAACATTTATTGTGCAAATGTACAAACCTATCAACCTAAGGATTCTGGTATGCAAGTCAACAAATCAATGAGCCCTGTAAATATTCCAATAGTAAACCTGAAATAAATAACATTTTGTAACAATCAAATAAGTCGGCTTTAAATCTATTTTGGATGTGTGACACAAAATAGTGCTTATGCGTTACTGAAACATAACTGGACTCAATCTCTGTTACCTCAGTAACCACAGCAATATCCAAAGCGAATTCTCTTATCGAGTAAAACGCATAGATGTTGAAAGTAATGAAGCGGTTTAATTACTATGAATACATATAATTAATTGACTTAAAAGCTAAGCAACAAAATAATATATGTATTAAGTTGAAAATATTATTCCATAATACACAAAATTGTATAATTGTCCAGTATAGCAAAAAATACTCTGCATTAATTAAGACAAGAATGTAATCATATATTTAACAATTATTTAATATAGCTAAATGTCTATATTTCTATATGCGAGTTTTGGAGTCCTTTACTATGTAACCACATTCAATTGTTCAATTGTTTCTTCGTACAATAAATTTTAAAATGCTTATTTACGATTGCGCTTTATTAAGGCGGAAAGGTTCTTCCCATCGAAGTTACTTGAATCCATCAATATTTTCATTTTGGTACCATCTTTATTCCTGTCAATCCTGTCATGCCCTTACACTCCTTTTTCTTTCATGCCTTGTTGTCGATATTACGATATTAATGTCGAACTGAAATGTTTCGCTTAGCAAAATTAATACTTCCAAGTCGTTGTAACATATATCGTTGCTTCATTCAATATTTTCGATTTGGTTTCTCACGCCTAATAGAGCATAGGGGTTTTTTTAAATTAACAGTTGCTTTAAAATAATCAACAGTATTTGACAGTTATGGGAAGTTCTATTCCAATCAAACTGTCAACTGATAAGTGACAGCATCCCTGTGAGAAGCTGCAGGCTACATCACATAACAGATGTAGTTTGACTTCTCAGCAGGAAGGACGTGCTTGATAAAATAACTGCGATTATGTGATTTATTTTTGTGAAATAAAAAAAATTTTATAAATTATTTTGTGCTAAATTTTGAACAAAATGTGGTTCACACGTTTTTTTTATATTTTAATTTTTGTGGTGGCCGTTAATTCAACACGTAAGCAAGGCTGATTATTTAAAAAAACTAGTTTTTGTAAAATTCTATAGTTTTTCAATCTTATGTATCCCAAAAAATATTGACAAAGAATCCACCCAGGAATTTTTTTTTATAAGTTTGACATTTAAAATAACGCCTGCGCTGTGTGCTGAGCCATTCTCTAAATTTTATTGTCCTGGAAGAGAAATATCAACAGAGCATTTGTTTATGTTTACAAAGAATGTAAACAATCCACAAGTGTTTCTTAAGATTGGATGAGTGGAATGTAGAGATGTTAAAAGATAGTGTCCAAAAGGGGCGGTTAGTAGCACACTACTAACTTATAATATAGATACTTATTAAATGCATTATTATTAAATCTTTAAACTCAATATATACTATATATAACATAAATGCAAATTTTTTGTAAGTAATATTATATTAAATCTTTCAATAGATGTTGTGCATTATAAGGGTGTCTCCACCTAACTCTATACACAACTTGTTGTTGTAGCACAGAATGGTTGTATTGAGCAACATTTAGTTTTTGATTATTAGCAGCTCTGGAACTTAGATTACTCGCTCTTGAACCACTGCGTTCATATATAATATGTATATTTCCATATACATTAAATTAGAGATTAATTGAAACATACAGAGCTGTTTGCCAGCACACTTTAATCGTTTCAATAAAATAATACAATTAGCATATTTAGATTAAAAATAGTTTTAAACTTTAATTCAAATAATTTCTTTACAGCGCCTATAAGTTTTGAAGCTAATCCAGATACAAAACGCCTCTACGATGACTTGCTTAGCAATTATAATCGCCTGATACGTCCAGTGGTGAATAACACAGAAACCTTAACTGTTTGGTTAGGTTTGAAATTGTCCCAATTGATTGAGGTGAACTTAAAGAATCAAGTCATGACAACGAATCTCTGGGTAAAACAGGTAAATTAAATTTTGAACTCCAAGCTATATTTATATTTACCATATATTATAATATATTAAATAATACTTTTTTCCTTTTAAGCGTTGGTTTGATTATAAATTACGTTGGAACCCTGAAGAATATGGTGGAGTTGAACAACTTTATGTACCATCTGAGCACATATGGGTGCCTGATATTGTTTTATACAACAACTGGGATGGTAATTATGAGGTATAGACAATTATATGTATGTATTTATATTTATTTAATTAGTTATATAAAAATTTAAGTAATTTTAGATAAATACTATGCTTTATATATTTTCTTATAAACTTATTGATGAAACAAATATTTTCCAGGTCACGTTGATGACAAAGGCTACACTAAAATATACCGGTGAAGTATTTTGGGAACCACCCGCAATTTACAAATCATCTTGCGAAATGAATGTCGAGTATTTCCCATATGATGAACAGATATGCTTCATGAAATTTGGTTCATGGACTTATAATGGCGCACAGGTGGATTTGAAGCATTTGGATCAGGTGAGTTAGTTTGCAAGTAACTGTTGACGTGTATAGATATGTCGTTCAATTAATTAATACACAAAGACTTAAAAGTACTGTATTTCTTTTAGAGACACGATATTTTTTTCTTATTAACAAAAGTGTCGGAAGGTTCCAGTCGACATATTCTAAAATTTCAAGAATGAAAGACATAGGCACTGTTTATCGTAGTTCTAGTACGTCGAGGTCTAGTCATCGAGGTGGTGCTTTTTGTTTATAACGATGGAATTATTTTTTATATCACTGTTATAATACTTTTATAATAATTGTAGCGCTGTTTAATTAACTGAACTTAAGCTTACCTTCAGAACTTCAATATAAGTATTTTTTTATTAAAGGAGCGTGTCTACCCTCCTTCATCATCTATAATGACATATCTATTTTGATTTCACATACCTAATTATTTTTAGGAGTTAATGTTAAACTGATTTGTTCACTGACAAGGTTGTAAAGTAATCTGAACAATAGCGCGTCTATTTGTTTGGGTTTAGAAAAGTATCATAACAGGTGTTTAGGCATAACTCCCTTTTAAGCCAATGAAAGAGATTATACACACCGGTTACCCAGCTCCATCCTATTCAATTGTGCGGTGTCCCGTTAGAAATGATATTCTTTTATAAACTTTCATTTTGTTTTTATGCTGACCTAAGTGTTATGGTAGGATTTGAGCATGTTACAAAATCTAAAACAATCCCAAATCAATCCCTAATGATGGAGGTGCTATTAATGGCTCATTATTATGTTTGTTGCCTACTTTCTCCTCATGATTAGAAAATCAAACTATCAAAAGATCAACAGTTGTGTAAAATAGTCAGCGAGATATAGTCACGAATATAGCTTTAGAATTAACTATTTTTTGATCTGCCAAATATCTTATCTGCAAATATTCAAGTGATTTAACAGAGCTGATATTTTACTTCATTCTACTTGATTGTATATCGCCTAGTTAAGGATTGGACACTTAATGTATTTTATTTTTGCAGTAGATGGAAAGCATCAAAAGCTACAGTGTCAGACTTTAACCCACTAATATCACCTCTTAAGCATGAATGCAGAAGATTTCACTGCAATGCGGATGTGGATGTGTATTCATTATTAGAATGAATAATTTAAGGGTAGAGATGTGGTCAAGAGGCCTAGACACCTAGAGGTCTAGGTGTATTTAAGGCAGAAAGCATGGGTATGGTACATGTGGACGGCAATTATGTCGAGGGGGGGCGCTTAATGTACTGTCTTTGATTGAATATAAGAATTAAAAAATTGATCAGAGAGTAGACAAATAAAAAATAGCTTGGAATGAAAGTTTTTGATTTTGCTTGCTTATTGAATTTGTATTTTTTATTTTAATCTAAATTTTATACTTTAATAAATTTATAATATAAAATATTCATACTCTTATAATATTGTAACAATTTCAGGTTCCTGGCAGTAATCTAGTGCAAATTGGAATTGATTTAAGCGAATTTTATTTATCAGTCGAATGGGATATCCTTGAAGTTCCTGCTACTAAAAATGAAGAATATTACCCCGATACATTGGAACCATTTTCAGGTATTAAAGGGTATAAAAATTGAAAAGGGTTTAAAGGAAGAAAGAATCACCAAATTAATTCTACGTTAATTGTTAACTACGAAAAGTTACTAAATCTTAAAAAAATCCATTTACTTATTTTAGATATAACTTTCAAGCTAACAATGCGTCGTAAAACACTTTTTTACACTGTCAACTTAATAGTACCGTGTGTTGCTCTAACGTTCCTTACAGTGTTGGTGTTTTATTTGCCTAGCGATTCCGGCGAGAAGGTAAGTTCGTTCCGTATGTGCTGGAATAAGAGTGTGGCATTACTGTTTCCTGTCAGAATTTATTGCATGTCGCTGCTCTAATGTTCGTTCTTTGTATTTTATTGTGTTCTGTTATGTTATTTTGACTATCTTCTTGCTATAAACTAGAAATTAATTTCAATCCTTCAATTTTCCTTATAGAATTTTTTTTTTAATTTCGCTATTGAAATTTAACAAGGCTTTATTCTTCTTATGTTAGTTTTTAAAAATATTGTTTTATAATTTAATTAAGTTTCTCTAAAACTCTATAATTTATGGGGTGCTATTTTATATAAGCAGTTTTTTAAATACAGTCAAACCTCTCTATAACGAATTCGTTAGAGAGAAATTCGCTACAGGTTCAAATATATGAAAATCGCTGTCTACAACAAACCTTCGTTATAGAGAGGAATTCGTTATAGGGACGTCCATTATAGAGAAGTTTGATTCTAATTGTTACTCTTAAAAACAAATACGAATACTACAGAGTTATCCATTTTGTGGTTTTAAAAGTAAATATAAATACAAAATACTTTTAATTGAGATTTCGATCGAAATTTTGTTTGGATCTGGCATTTTTAGCAAAACACAGATATCTTTTCAACTAATTTGAAGTAATTTGATGACCCATTGTTAGGAACAGCTAGATCACAACAATAAAGGATGTTCGTTATCGAAGTGTGAAAAGACATCCCACAAAAAAATAGATAGCTATGAAGTCAACAGTTTTAACTGAGTTTCACATAGCTAAAATAATTAAGACAAGTTTTACAATAATATTAACTCATTCCAAAATTCCAAATATAATTCGTCAGGGATATTGCTTTGTTTACATTATTTCTTTGTTTATAATATTTCGCTGGTCATAAATGTAGAGTAATATATCTAATGAATAATGTTGAGATGTATGACAAAT